GTCCGCTGCTCACTCGAAGGCTGGTAGCAGTAAGTTGAGCTGGGTGATGAAGAATAGCTTGTGTAGGTGAAGCCCATGAGATAGACTTTTTGAGTGGAACATAAGGAGATTTTCAGTGGGATGACAGCTTTTATTGTTGCTGTACCTTTACCAGAAGAAAAAGAAACCTTGGCTTCAGAGTAGATTTGTCACTGAATTATGCGCCAGTTCCCCCCCCCACTGAAGCCCAGCAGACTAAAAGGGTGGTAATTGCTCACTGTAGCACAGCAACAAGGGCAATAGCAGCGTGTGCTGGAAATGGTCTGTGCAAATAGCAGAACGTCTTGCTCCACTCCATAAGAAGCTTATGCTTTGCTTGAAAACCCATTGGCCTTCATTTGGCCCTTGGAGAACAACAACTGGGCTAGCGGGTGCTTGCTGGAGGATCTTTTTGCCCAGTATGCACATGTCAGCCAAAGCAGGAGCAAGGATCCAGTCCAGAGCGTGGGATGGACAATGGTGCTTAAAGGGAGCACCCATAAATAAGTTGAGGGTTTTTGTTGCATGGAGAGTTAATGCAAGTGGTTAGTTTGATTTGTGGTTATGAGCAGGTACTGCTCAGCCCTCCAGTGGGAAGGAGGGGAATTGCCTAAGGTTGGCAAAGGGTCCAAACTTTGAGGGTTTTTTTTCTCCATGGCCTCTCCCAGAGCCTAGGGTCCTTCTCATCTGCGTGACGAGGTGAGACTATCAAATGAGGTTCTCCCTTCCTAGTGTCAGGGTTGGCTCTGAAGAGCTCAGGCATGTCGTTTCAAAATCTGGCCTGCCTCTTTCCTTGTCCTGTTTCTGTAGGTAGTTGGATCTCAGGTCTGGCACCACAAGGCAGTAATAATCTAGAGCCCAGCCTACAGGCAGAAGAAACTCCCAGAAAGCCTGAGGTGAGGTGGTTCCCATGTTCAGGCTGCCTGCAGCCTGAAAACAAGACAGCGCTGCTGGAGGGAGTGGAGCTGTGGTTGGGGTAGCAGGGGAGGCTTCCAGCCAGGTGAGATGGGAAAACGTGGACCGCATCATCCCTTGGGTTGCTCCAGCTGGTACACTGCTCCCTCCCAGCAGCCCGGCACTGTGCATCGCTGAAACGTACCCTGCTATTTGCTGAATATTTGCCCTCATGCTCTTCCCTTTGCCCTGCACTGCCTCAGCTAATGAGGTTATTGTTTAGCCGGAGAGAGGCATCCGCTTGTGTTTGTGCCTGGCTGCAGCGCGGTTCCAAGCAGAGATCCTCCTGACAGTGCCAGATGGCGAGCCGCAAGCACAGGGAAGAGGGAGGAAAGGGAGCTGCAGCTCTGCCCCCTCCAGGGAAAAAAGCCTGGTGGGACTATGTCTGCCCAGGCTCTGCTGCTGGCTTTGGAGTCTGGAAGGGGAGAGACGGAGCACGGTCAAGGAGTGGGCCTCCAGACGGCTGGGGCAGGCAGTGTGTCAGGCTGTGAGCATCTAGTTTAGGTTTTCTTGTGCCTCCAGTCCTGTGGTAATAAACTTACATAAATCTAACCAGAAGCACAGCATTAATATTTTAAAAAATGACATTTAAGGTATTGAATATATGCTACGTTCTCCAGAAGAGAATCTGTGTGAGTGTGCGTGCACACAGTTGGGGCTTTGTTTTCCTTTTATAGTGGATTGTTGTGTGTATGTATTTTACTCAGGGTATTTTGTGTTATAATAAGAAGGGGGAGGGAGCAGGAAAATACTGCTCTGTTTATATACACTGCTGTCAACAGCAATGCTGCGTGTTTCAGATTTGCATCCTCCGTGAAGTACTCTGGATTCCAGGCAAACAACACCCTTCCCCCTTTATGCCAAAATCCTTTGGGAGGATTGCCTGAGCCTCTCCTCCCGTACCCCTCTTGCTGGCAGGCTTGCCCTCTCCTGGAATTTGGCTCTGGTGAATGTAGCTCACTCCGTACCCAGCATGCAAACAAGTCGATATGCTAAGGTTCAAAGGGACAACCTTGGAAAATGTCAGAGCAGCATCTCTGCACCGTTGTTCTGCTGCTCTGATCACAAAAAGGAGCTCTGAGTGAGTCAGGCTGTAATTTTCAGCTGGGGGGGGCAGGGGGAGAACACAGCAATGCCTCTCTGTGTGCGTCTATGTCCCTCCTGAGCTTCTTTGACACTTTTCGTAATGCCTTTCACCTTTGTGAGTCTTCGGAGACACTGATGCAGGGCTGAGCCTGAAATGTTACTGCTCACCCATAATTTTTATAAATCTCAGGTGTAGCACATCTCCTTTCCCTCCTCCCTGAGTTTTTATGTGTTTAGGTTTTGTGACAGGAGCGTTTTTATGTCTCTTCTCCCTTGTTTTCCCCTCTCTCACCCAGCCCTGAAATAGTCAATGAACGTGCCCTTTCTTATCTCCTGATATAGGCCTCAAGGGACAGTTCCTTCCTATCCATCTCCTGAATGCCGTAACAGCACGTAGCCTGGGATATGCTGGAAAAGCGCTGGGTCTGAATCCGCCCTTTTGATATAAGTGGACATTATGCATTTTTAATAGATAGAGAGTTCCCTGAAACCCTTAGTACTAGCTGAATTGGCACAAAATTCCCAGGCAAGTTGACTTTGGAGCTGATCTCTCCCTAGGTACCTTGCAGAAAATGAGACCAAGGACAAAAAAAGACCATGTTCCCTTTGATTGCAAGAACCGCCTTGTTTTGCAGAGGAGGTGGCTGAGCAGAAGCTAGCCCCGCTGTGCCGTCCCTTTAGCTCTGCATGAAGGATTCTGGATTGGCAGTCCTTGTTCATCCTTGTTTATCCACAGAGTAGGTGCAGTGTGAGGGGAGAGCTCCTTCCTTCAAGCATCACCCTCCGTGGACAGTACTTCAGCACTGGCCTGGAGGCATCATCTCCCTGGTTTGTCCAGTGCAAGCCTTGCCACAATCTCAGCAAAGCTGACTTCCAGCTGAGCAGTGGCTTGGGGCTGTGCATGGAGTCCTCCAGCTCGCTTCAGGGGGGAAGAGTATGAGAGCCGCTGTCCCCGTTCCTGTGATGACGCAGTTAGGATTTGTCAGTGTGTCTTGATGCTTGCTAATTTGTGGGTAATGCTTTGACTTCCAAGCTACATAACAGACGTCTCTGCTCCCAGGTACCCCTTGAGATCCACAAGTTAAAACTGGGGTTTGAATGCTATAGGTTAAAAACAAAAAGGCTGGTGAAAATGGTGGGAGTCCCTGGTGAAAATCACCAAGATTGCTCCACGATATGAACATCAGCTCCCTGAGTACTGAAGCTTTTTGCAGTAACTGGAAGGTTGTGGTTTTTCCTTTGTTGTTCCTTTTTTGGTAAAGCATAAGTAAATCTCCCTATACCTCCAGGTTACCATGGCACTGTAACCTTACCAGATCTGGAAGAGAGGGAGTAACCAGGGAGTAGCTGTAGCTGTGGATCTGTGCACGTCCACTGTGGAACATGTAGCTGGGAAGAGATGGTGGTATATGGAGGGGGACGATCCGGTTGGAAGCAGGTGAGCAGGCAGCAGAGGCAGGCCAGGTAAAAGGTGACTCATCCCCAACCTTGGGGCTGACTTTTGGCTCATGTTAAACTGTCCAGCTGCAAGCATGGCATTCAGAGACATATATACTGTGGTGTTCATCCATCTCGGAGAAATCTGCTGCTAAGCATGAGTCAGCCCTGCCTGGGTTAACTATTAAAGGGCAGTATTGGGAGATAAGATTTTTACTCTGCCCCTCAGCCCCTTCAACCCTGCATCCTCCAGGTGGTCCCTGTGAAGGAAGGCAGTATACCTAGGGTCCCGCTGCATTGTCACAGATCACAGAAGTGTCCTGTCTGCCCACTGGGCTTGGTGTAATTGTCCCGAGATTAGGGGCAGCCCTAGTCACATCCAGAGCCTCCTTCCCATGGGGAAAGGATGTTCCTGCTCTCCCCTGCCCAGTGCCAGGACCCTTAGGCAGCTGCCAGGGTGGATGTGGAGGTACGTTGCTGTTTGGGTAGGGAAGGCTGAGGGGGCTGTCGTGGTTTAGCCCAGGGGCCATGGAAAGACACAGTGCTAGATAGAAGGGGAGTTGGATGAGATCTAACGACAGTTGCCCGCTGCTTGCAAAGCCCATGTGGACTCAGCTGGGGAGCCATCCGTCTGGGCATGGAGGCACGCACGACAAGGAGTAGAGGGTGCTTCCACTAAAGTGTACATGCAGAAAGTGGAGCAGAGCTCAGCCTGCCTTCCTGACAGGGTGGAGGGGAACCTTGCTTTCCACCTAGCATATGGTCACCACTTTCTCTCAGAGAGGCGCTGAGCCTCCTCGCCAGCAAGACCCTTCCCTCATGCCCAGCCCTTCCTAACCTCACACTTCCCATTTGCCTGCTGAGCTGGGGGAGCATCTCCCCTAGCCCATGGCTGCAAACTCAGCGGATGATGCCGTGGAGTGAGGAGAGCAGGAACCAATTCCTTAAGGGGCCATCTCAGAGCCTTCCCCAGCTTTTCCTCCCGTCGTCGCAGGGAGAAGTGCCCCTGCCTAAGTGGAATAAATTGGTACAGACCATTAGCACCGCAGGTCCTCCTCTGGTGGGGGGGAGGGAAGGGGCTGTCGGCACTGCTCTGGATACAAAGCAGCCAGCCACGCTCTGGCTCCTTCCTCCCACACCCCGTTGGCCTCCTCCTCCTCCCTGTTTGCTCGCTCCCTCCCTCCCTCCCTCTTTCACTCTCTTTCTTTCCCTTAACGCCACGCTGCAGAAAGGCAGACCTGGGGAACTGGAGGTCCACAGAGGCAGTGGAGGAGGAAGGAGCTCTCCAATGCTGTTTCTTTGCGAGTGAAACGGGGAGGCAGAGAGGCGATGGAGGAGTGTCTTGGTTGCTGCCTGGATTAAGAAAGAAAACGTTAAAAAAAAAAAAAATAAAACCCCGCACCCAACAAACGAAGAAAAAGGGAGGAGAGAAGGAGGAGGAGGTTGCTGGGGGAGCCCACTCTGGTGGGTGAACAGCCACTTTGAATCGTGCCTCTGTTCCCAGGGATTAAAGCATGAATGGGAGCAGCTTCCCAGCCACGATGGAGAGAGAAGGCGATTCAGGCTATGGGAATAAGGTAACTCTTGCCTCTTGCAGGCGTTGCATGGCTGAGCTGAGCAGGACAGAGATCCTTTACGCACAGAGCTCTGTGTGTGTGTGTGGATGTGTGGATGCAGCGGGCAGGGAGTGGGAGGAAGCAGGAAAGACTCAAAGCGATTTTTCTACCCCTCCCAGTGTATTTAAAGGATGCAGAATGGGTCCCGGGGGCTGCAGTGCTCGAGATCACTTTGTCCCCCTTTCTCAGGCTGGGTGCCTGAGGATGTCAGGCTGCTTTGGCTGGGGAAGGCTGGCTGGGTTATGGGGAAATATGCCTGTGTCTCGCCTCCAGGAGCACTGTGCTCCCAGCCTTGCCCTCCCAGACCTGCACCTGCTCTGGGGCTGCCCTCCTGGGCTTGCCTGCAGCTCTCAGGGAAGCTGTGTGGGGACGACAATGGCCCCGCGCCCTTCCAGCCCACCGGTGCATCTGTGCAGATGGGAGGGAGGTGAGAGACGACTGAGAGAGTTGCTTTTTTCTTCCCTTGGTCATCCTCTGCCTTTTCTTCGCAACAGAAAGGGATGAGATTTAGGAGGAGGGGGAACTGAAATCCCTTTCGTTTGTGCCAGCAGTGGTGAGAGCCAACTTTGAGGCTGCTTAAAGGGAAAAGCTTTCTGAGTGCTATCTTTTGGGGGGAAGAGGAGATGGCTGAGTGATGCTTTGCCATCTGAGGAGTGATCTCTGTGTCATGTTATGTTGTGGTAGTGGGTGGGGATGAAAAATAGTGATTATGGGGGAGAAAGTCCATGGTGATCAGTGAAGCTGTCTACAAACGATGCTTTCCTTTTCCCTGCTGGGCCTCTCTCTGATTCAATTCCTGGGTCTCTGACCCTGAAAATCCTAATTTCACTCAGATCAGAAAGCACAACTTCAAATAGTACTGGGAGGTGTTTTAGCCCAGATGTTTGGGAGAGCACTGAGCAGAACCTGATGTTTACAGCTGTGGAGCCCATATCCAGTAAATCCCAACAAGTATTGGTCTTGGCCAGTCGTTCCTCGCTGTCTTTGGCAGGATCTTGCTGCTGCAATATCCATTTTTTTCTGTGCTGTCCATCAGATACCCCCTCCTCCCCTTGCCTTCAGGGGTTTCTTGATGGGTCTTGCCACAGGGTTAGGAAGCATTTGCTTTGGTTACTTAGATAATGACATGTCACAGAAGTCCCTGCTCGTATGCACACAGTGCAGAAAGTCATGAGTCCCAGTGTGCTGTCAATTGACGTAAGAGCTTGTATACACATCTAAGGAGCTTACAGTCCGGTGTTTGTTATGGACTGGAAGAGACTACGCAGTCTGTTGCATAGGTCTGTACGTACTCGTCTAAATTGTTAGTGTCCCTGAAGATCTACAGTGAGGTGTCACCAACTTGTGTAAATGATTGTGTGTTTGTGCAGGAAGAAGGGCTGTGTAAACGTACGGTGGAGCTTCAAGCCATTCTTTTGTTCCATGAGTGATCCTTGCTCGTATGAGGAAATTCTCCTAACTCACCTGAGATGCGTCTTGTTTGCCTTGTTTTGTAATTAGTCCTTCTCTGTACACAGACCTCCAATGCAAATGAATGACCAAGGTTTGGTTAGAAGGTTACAGTGGTTAGGATTGCTTGGGTTACCTGACAGAGTTGGGATTGAAAAGGTGTGGGAAAATGGAGGCACTTGAGAAAAGAGGATAAAATATCTTCTTTCTGTATGTAGCACCCAACTCTGTTTTCTGTGTCAGCTTCAAAGCACTGAAGAATATGGAAGATGTTCTGGTGAAGAAATTGAATAATTAGACAGTGAAAAAGAAGGTTATTTCTCCCAGGAGAGTTCATTCAGAAATAGAGGCCAAGAGTTTTGGAAATGGCCAAAGCCAGCAGGACAGTGAGTGCAACTAGAATGGGAAGGTAGCTGACCGATAATTTTATTTTCCTGGTTGAATATGTATGAAAGACAGAGGAAGAAAAATGAAATTGGTGACGTTGGCTCTGAGTACTTTCCCATTCCATGCAGCTGAGTTATAAATCCCTCCCTGCAACCTCCACAGGCGTTCCTAGTGAAACACTGTCAGCTTCTCTGGCGGAGCACTGTGAACTTGGAGTCGTTAGCAACGCAGTAACAGCTTAAATGAGAGCTGTCTCCCTCCGAGCCGGGCTGACCCGAGGAAGGTGCAAAAGAGGGGACCCAGTGCCCACGTCATTTCGATTCTCTAGGACAGCAAATTGAGAGGGCATCCGTAAAAAAAGGGTGGGAGAGCTTTCCCAAGCTTTCCCACTTGTTAGTTGGAATCTCAAAGTTTCCTGACCCATCGAGGTGGCTCATAGTGGAGAGTGAATGTAAAGGGAGGATAGTACCCCAGCCCTAGGAAAGGACTGTCACCTCGTTCGTGTCACAGACCTGACGTGGTGCCACTGGGGTCAGCGATTCTGTTCTGTGGCTTTGTCCTCATCAGGGCAGTGTCTCACAGAGCTCCAGCCAACTACAGCGATGCTTGGATTTGCTCTCTTTTCTCCTTTGACCTGCAGTGTTGTTCTGAGTCTTTCTGGGTTTTGCTCTGCAATTGTGCACCTTCCGAGGCAAGAATCGCAGCGAGTGTGTCCAGCGTGCAGGGCCTTGTCAGTTTTTAGCACGCTCACAAATGCTGCATCTTTCTGGCAAACAATTGCTGTAGCTGGGAGATCTGGCCTGAGCTGACCAAGAAATCTTCCAGTAACAAAGTGTGAGCACACGCTTCCCCCTTGTGCAAAACTGGCTGCTCAATGTCAAAATAATGCTTTCTGAAAGGAAAACAGTGCGTCTACCCTTTTAATCTTTTCCAGCACGCTCATGTTGCAACAGCAGAAGCCCTGGGAAATGAAAAGAATTGTCTTTTAAGGGACACTAGGGCAAATGTTGCAATTAATTTTTTAGTGTTTCTTGGAGACTTGCCTTTTGCAATGCTTTTGCTCTCTCTTGCCCTTGTTCTATCTCTACTAGCTCAAAAAAAAGTTGTGCAAAAGCATATTTTTTCTTAAAATCATAGAATGGTTTGGGTTGGAAGGGACCTTAAAGCCCATCGAGTTCCATCCCCCCCCGCCATGGGCAGGGACACCCTCCGCTAGACCAGGTTGCCCAAAGCCCCATCCAGCATGGCCTTAAACACTTCCAGGAATGGGGCATCCACAGTTTCTCTGGGAAACCTGTTCCAGTGCCTCACCACTCTAACAGTAAAGAATTTCTTCCTAATATCTAGTCTAAATCTCCCCTCCTTCAGCTTAAGGCCATTACTCCTTGTCCTATCACTCCATGCACTTGTAAACAGCCCCTCTCCAGCTTTCCTGTAGCCCCTTTAGGGACTGGAAGGTACTATAAGGTCTCCCCGCAGCCTTCTTTTCTCCAGGCTGAACAACCCCAACTCTCTCAGCCTGTCTTCATGGGAGAGGTGCTCCAGGGCTGCTCTCAAACAAAACCCAATGGTCAGATTTGAATCCATAGGAAGACAGGATGTGGTCCTTTCTTGCATCACTGTGCATTTTGTCTTGCAGGGATGAGCAGTGCCAGAGGCTGCCTGGCTTCAAAAGCCACTTGTCATATGGGCTTACCAGCAAGATCTATCACTTTTGTAGATGCAACAGGCCTCGGTCAGCATCTTTCTCTGCGGGTGATGCCCTCTGTGGCTTTTTTGCCCTCCACTTTTTCTGCAGTCCTCTGTTGCATGCAGCAGCCTTGAAAAGTTAGGTGGGCTGCAGCTGTAAGTCTTGTTTGGGGATATGGCTGCAGGTGCATTTGATGTGGCTTCAATGCACTGGAAGGCAAAGCATCTTCTGGAAGCAATATCATTGGAGGGGCCCTTTGCAGTGTCTTTTGCATAGGTCCTTGTTCTCTGTAACATGTTGTCTTTTATGCTTTGCTTGTGGGGATCCTGAATTGGTTACCTACCAGTGTTTTGCTTCTCTAGTGGCAAGAGAAGTGATCTTTGCCAAGCACAAGGTCTGAAGAGTGAGGATAGATTCTCCCTTTTTCTCCTGCGAGCCCCAACTGTTTGTGTTTGGCTTGGCAAGTTGACATCAGGGCTGGATTCACCTTCAGAAGCTAATAAGGGCTTCGCTGAGTGGAGATCACAGGGTGTGGTCCATAATTAATCTTCATATCCTGATGTAGACACGTGCACCACCCCCAAGTGCTTTAAGTAATACAGCGTATTAGTCACTATTGAATATATCCTCCTACATTTTTTAATAGGAACTCCACGCCTCCAGGGAACTGAGGCACTGGGAGACTGAGGAAATAACTGAGAACAATTCACTGGGGAGCGGATCCCGGTCTCTCGCAGTGCTAATGGCTTTGTCCCACAAATTTAGCCAGTTTAGTCCTCCTCCCGTTCTTGACCCTCTCTGTCTGTGGTTGTGTTGGTTGTACCAAGTGGCACTTTCCAAGGCACGCTGTTCACAGTCTCACAGAATGACTCCTGCGCAGCAAGATACCTTATGGGTACCTGTACTGTGCCTGGAGCACACTTGCACAGGCAAGATTTGCACACCTATGTTTTCCATGTTTTCCATGCTAGCCTGTGTATAGAAGTGTGTGTTCTTCCCCTTGTACAGCTGTGTGCAACTGCACGCATACTCTGTGTTTCTGCCTGAGAAATGCCGTGTCCTGACAGAGTACCACAGAGCCTTTAAGCAATTTGCCAGCTGCAGTGGTACCTCAGAAATCCCTCCAGCTATCCTATCCATATGACCCATGCAGAACACAGTGCGATATGCCTGGCAGTGACAGCAGAATAAATAGGAAATGCTCAAGATCCCCCTCCTGCCTGGATCTGAGCTATTTTCCTAAAGATGGGACAAGAGCTAAGCTTCTGTACAAGGCTTCCTGCACTTCTTGTGCTGTTTTTTAAGAGCAGGTGATGTATTAGCTCTCAAAGGGTGTGTTAATGCATTGGTCACTGCTGGCCCAGCTCCAGCCTGTACGCTGCCCTGGAATGCTATTTATTGTTAATTCCTGAGATATGGTTTGATACTCCAGAGT